TCTTTTGGTGTTTTCACGACTGCCAACCTCTTTTTCTTGCCTTGGCTGCATTCTCTATATGTACTAGAGTGAATTAGAGTTGTAAAAACCACTAGCATCTTTACAAATTTTGAAGATTTGATTTGGTTTTCATGGTGTATGATATCCTTCCAATTTTGGCCTAATCATGCTCTTTTTGTACCAATTGCCATTGATTCGAATTGATCTTGCAAGCTCAGCATATCTTGGTTGCTAACCTGTCAAAAAAAACAAATCAAATCATATCTTTGATGATTTTCATCATTTATTTGATTTAATTCACTTTTTAACTAATGAAAAATGAAAATAAATTGAAAAATGAAGCAAATAATTTGTGGATAAGTATTTGAGTCGTGGACCACATTATAATTGAGGTGCAAGCATAAAAAGTTAGGCCCATTTAGCAAAAAATGCAAATTTAAGCACATTTGACTTTTGGCAATTTTGCAAAAATGGTCAACTTAGCCAATGCAGAACTCTCTCAATTTTGACCCTACAAAGGTGTTCTTAGACTTTTTAGAAAGCTTAGGATGTCCTCTAAGCAAACCTTTTGGTCTCATATCAATTGATTCTTCCATGTTCATGTATGAAGCTTTGACCAAAAAGGTGCTTTTGTTGACTTTTCAAAAGGACCTATAATGTCAAAATTCATATCTTTTTGTGAGTGCATATTATGAACTTGGGAGCTGAATATGAATATAGGGATTTGCATCCTCTTCAAAATGAGCTTTGGATGGGTCATTTCTGATAAAGTATGAGAAAGTTATGCTTGGTAAAAGTTGAGTTGACCTCTCCTACAAAACCCTAATTTAGCAACCTTTGGGTTTTGATGAATTGTGAGCAATCCTTGAGGAATCATGATCAACCCTTGATAAAATGATGAATAATAATTCAAAATGAGTATGTTGACCAAAAATCTTGAAGTTTGACTATATGTGGGCCACAGTTGACTTTTGACCTAGTATAGTTGATTTTCAGGCATTTGAGCAATTAACTGAGCAAACTTCTTCTGCAAGGCTTGAAACTTGACTTGGATGATCTTGAGAACATATTAGGGAAATGGTGAGCATTTAAGTCCTTTGTGGTTCACACATCTTGATTAAAATGGAAACCCTAATTTGAGATTGACTGCCTTAAGAGAGAGTTTGTCTGGTCAACTCTTGAACTTCCTTGAGCAATTTGAGGACCTCACTTGACATGTGTTGAGAAATATGGGAGGGAAAATTTTGGGGTACAACATGTTGTATGATTGATTTTGGTTCTTGAATTCGTGTTGATACTTGAACAAAATCACATTTTGTGATTCTATGGATTTGGGAAACATTGTGTTTGTGAGATCTTAGTGCTCTGCAGAAGGTTGAAGATGACCGGAAATGATAGTCTAAGCACCAAACTTCCTGTTTTTGATGGCAAGAACTAGAACAAATAGATGATTCAGATGCGAGTGTTGTTTGGTGCTCAAGATGTTCTTAAGCTTGTTACCAAAGGTTATGTTCCAGTTGTAAAAAAAACAATGGAAGAGCGGAGAAACGCACAAAGAGACAAGAGGAAGAAAGATCAGACGATGTTATTCTACATTCATCAGTGTGTGGATGTGAACGTGTTTGAGGAGATTACAGGTTCGACGATATCAAAGGGCGTGTGGGATATTACTGGTCAGATGTTAGATGGTGACGCATCATTAAAGAAGGTGAAGCTTCAGTCTCTATGAAAGAAATATGAGAATCTCAACATGAAGGACAATGATAAAGTTTCTGAGTATATCCCTAGAGTGATTCTGATTGCTAATAAGATGAAAGATTGTAGAGAAACCCTTTATAAACAAGTAATCAAGAATATATTGAGGTCTCTTACTCCTCAATTTGGTTACATTATTGTAACAATTGAATATTATAAAGATTTAGATACCATGAGAATAAAAGAGCTACAAAGCAGTCTAGAGGCACAAGAGTTACGTATAATTGAAAGAACTTCTGAGAGGAAAGTTAAGCAGGCTCTGAAAGCTTCTTTTGTCAAGAAGGACCAGAAGCATTCTTGGTCAGAAACCAAGAATAAATATGGAGATAGATTCCAGAAGTCAGAAACCTCTATTTGTGATGAGAAGAAACATTAAAAGAGAAAGGAGAAGTATGGAAAGAGAATGGTTCAATGTTACTGTTGTAACAAATTTAACCACTTTGCTAAGGATTGTTGGTCAAACAAAGAAGAAGCAAAAATAGCCATATGAGATTTAGATGATGAACCTGTGTTATTAATGGCTTATGAATCTGATGAGGAACTTGTGGGATTGTCATTTTCTGATTCTGAAGGGAAAGAAGATGATTCCGAATATTCTGAATCTGAAGGAGTGTTTGAATATGAGTCATAATCAGAAGATGCTGCTAAAGATTCTGAAGATGATTCAGAATCTGAGGTTTCTGAAGATGAGTCAGAGTTAGAAGATGATTCTGAAATTGAAGACAGGTCAGAATCTGAAGGTGATTCTGAGTCTGAAGAAGAATCAGAAGATGAGTTAGAATCTGAAGAAGATTATGCTTCTGAAGATGAGTCAGAACTTGAAAGTTCTGAAGGTGAGTCAGAGTCAAAAGATGAAGAATCTTCTAGAGACTCTAAAGATAAGTCAGATGGTGAATTTGATTCTGATCCAGATTTTAAATCTGGTGTGATCATGCTTCTAGAAGGGAAAACTCTGAAGACGTAGGTTCTGGAGGACAAGCTTCTGAAGATGATCATGTTTCTGGTGGAAATCATGTCTCTAAAGGTGGACATTCTGAAAGAGGAGTTTCTAAAGGTAATACAACCTTTAACGATGATCATGATTTTAAAGTGGAACTTGTGAAGGCATAGCTTTTGAAGGTGATCCAGCTTTTGAAGATGGTATTTCTGAAGGTAGTGGTTCTAAACGAGGTCCATAAGCTAACAAAGGTAGAGCTTCTCGTGGTAGTCAAACTTCTAAAGAAAGTCCATAAGGAGATATTGTTCCAGAATCAGAAGGAGATTCTAAACAAGTTCAGAGGCCACATAGAGTCAGAAATATAGCAAGGAGATTTGCAGAGTTTGACAAGCTGCAAGATGTTGAAGGGACTCTGAGGTATGGAGTGTTATTCCCTTATGGTGTTAGGTCAAATGCATAGCTGATATGCTATTTAGACTCTGATTTATATAGAGACAAAGTTAACAGAAGAAATACTTCTGGATATTTTTGTTTGTATCTTGAAAGTCATATTTCTTGGTGCTCCAAGAAGCAACTGGTGGTTGTGTTGTCAACCTGTGAAGCTCTTAAGAAGAAAGTGTGGCTGAAGGCCATGAAAGAAGTGCTTGATGTTATTGAAATAAATAAGACTTGTGAGTTAACTGAGCTTCTAAAGGAGAAGAAAAATATCAGCGTTAGATGGGTTCTCAAGGAGAAATCTTCACTTCGAAATGAAGTATTAGAAGTTGCACATTGTAGCAACCAGAAGCAAATTGCAGATGTTCTGACGAAGGATGTTAAGACTGAACACTTTATCCGTTTGAGGGATGAAATTGGTGTTGAAGAGTTTTGGTTAGCTGAATATGAATTAAGGGATGGTGTTGGAAGTAATTCATATTCAGAAGATGTTGTTGCTCAGAAGCAGTTGAGCATTTGAGGTTGTTAGCCAAAAGTTGTAAGCTTTTGAGACTGCTTAGTTAGAAGCAGTAGTTTGATATATTAAGAAGTTGTTGTTAGTCAGAAGCAGAAGCTTCTGAGATTACGTCCAGAAGTATGTTCAACTCAGTTTCTAGATTCTGAGTTTGTTAGCGTAACTATTAAGTTTAATATTTTTTAGTTTGTACCTTTTAACTTAGTCATTAAATTTACTTTTATTAGGGCCTATGTGACAATTTACTTTGTATATAAATAGACAAGTAGTAGTTATCATTTATAAAAGTAACAATAACATCAATCATTCTTTCTTACAATGTGGTAGCCGTCATTCTCTTGCTCTCATAAATATATTATTTTTGTTCATTATTAATTCTTGTACACAAACCATCTCAAAATTTTAAAATCATTTTAACTAATGTTAAAAATTTCAACAAATCCGTTAAAACCTCCGATTTAATTTGTTGAAACTCATCATACTTGAGACTAAACATTTAGAATACTATTTAAATGGTCAAATAACAATGACATATTAATAGTTGAGTCAACAAATAAACGGTGATAGTACCATCTTAAAATTTAACTTTATTATAATTCATTTTTTTAAGGCGAGATTTGTTTTTAGTTATAATCGTATAACAATCAATCTCTAATTCCTAACACATTCAAAACTACATTTTGACTTGAGTGGCTTGATAGTAGTGATTTGAATATGAGACGTGGCCCTATTAAACTTGACAAATACCCTCACCTGTAAAAAAATTAATTTAATTGATTTAATAAATATTTAAAATATAAATATAAAGATATAGATTTGATTGATATTTGATAGTGATGTTGGGTTTTAGGGTGAACCGAACCGAATTGTTCCTTATATATTCTTCCAAGTCTTACCTATGTTTATAGTAATCCTAATCTCATGATTGGCACGCACGCACACCCTTGACGGCGAGCAAAACGCACACGTGCCTTTGACCTTATAAACACTTTCAACACTTCGTACTACGTAAACACTCAAGCTCCATCGCTCTTCCTAACAAAAGCCCTAATCTTTATTCTGTTTCCACTTCCGCAACAAACCCTTGCCGCTTCAAGGTTTCGCATTCTCTTCTTTTTCTCTCTTTCCTGCTTTAATTCTCGTTTCTTGATCAATTTTCTCTTCCGTCTTTTTTTCAATTACTCTTTTCGTGTTTTATGCATTCATTCTTCAATTCTTGCTTATGATCATCGTTTCTGATTTATTACTTTTTCTTAGGTTTAGGTTTATTTGATCTTTTAACAATTATGATGTTGGGTTTTGTCTGTGATTGAAATTGATGTTTGGATTCTGATTATAGTGATAGCTTGTTGAAACAGGATGCCGGCTGCGCGGTATATTCCGCAGGTAAACACGTTAGATCAAAAGTTACAGATTCAAAGGAGGCTTGGCGTTTTGAAATCGCGCAAGTACTTTAATCTTCTCACGAGGTATCTCAGTATGAAACTTACGAAACCTGATTTTGATAAGCTCTGCATAGCGATTATTGGGAGAGAAAATGTACCTCTTCATAATCATTTCCTCAAGTCAATATTGAAGAAAGCTTGTCTGTCCAAGGCAGCTCCGCCCAGGCAGAACATAGCAGAAGGTGATTTCAAAGTGAAAATTCCAAATGGGTGTAACGAGCTTCCGCCTCTAGGCAAGAACTCTCGAAAGTGTAGGACTCCAAATTTGCATGACCGCAGATTTAGAGTCCATCCTAGTCCCCCTGGTCCTCATGGGAAGAATGGCAGCATTGGTTTGGAGAATTCAACTCCTAAAATTCAAGAGCACCAAATGGTACATCCTGTAGGAAATAGCCTTCATGTGTCTGTGGAACATAGGGAAGAGGTTAATCCTGATTCTGAAAGGCTGGCCATTAATAGAAGGAGTCCTATACGATCACCTCTTGGTCCTCATGGGAAGAACAACAGCACTGGATTTGAGAATTCAACTCCTAAAGTTCAAGAGCACCACATGGATACAGATCTACATCCTGTAACAAACGGGTTTCATGGGTCCGTGGAACATAGGGAAGAGGTTAATCGGGATTCTGAAGGGCTGGCCATTAATAGAAGGACTCCTATGCAAGCACCTCTTGGTCCTCATGTGATGAACAACAGCACTGGATTTGAGAATTCAACTCCTAAAGTTCAAGAGCACCACATGGATACAGATCTACATCCTGTAGGAAATGGGTTTCATGTGTTTGTGCAACATAAGGAAGAGGTTATTCGGGATTCTGAAAGGCTGGCCATTAATAGGAGGACTGCTATGCAAGCGCCTCTTGGTCCAAATGGGAAGAACAACAGCACTGGATTTGAGAATTCAACTCCTAAATTTCAAGAGCACCAAATGGATACAGATCTACATCCTGTAGGAAATGGGTTTCATGCGTCTGTGGAACATAGAAAAGAGGCTATTCGGGATTCTGTATGGCTGGCCATTAATAGGAGGATTCCTATGCAAGCGCCTCTTGGTCCAAATGGGAAGAACAACAGCAGCACTGGATTTGGGAATTCAACTCCTAAATTTCAAGAGCACCAAATGGATACAGATCTACATCCTGGAGGAAATGGGTTTCATGCGTCTGTGGAACATAAGGAAGAGGTTATTCAGGATTCTGCAATGCTGGCCATTATTAGGAGGACTCCTATGCAAGCACCTCTTGGTCCAAATGGGAAGAACAACAGCACTGGATTTGAGAATTCAACTCCTAAAGTTCAAGAGCACCAGATGGATACAGATCTACATCCTATAAGAAACGGGTCTCATGTGTCTGTGGAACATAGAAAAGAGGTTATTCCGGTTTCTGCAATGCTGGCCATGAATATGGCTCCTATACGAGCACCTCTTGGTCTTCATACCTATGATAATATGGCTCCTATACAATCTGGTATTGTCACTGATACCTGTCAAAGTATTGGTCATTTACCTGATACACATTCTTTGATGAAAAGGGTGGAGCGTAACTTGGAAACTGTGGGGTGTAACATCTCAGAAGATGCAGCCAATGCATTGAATACTGCGCTTGATGTTTACCTCAAAAGAATGATAAAACCGTGTTTGGATACAGTGGCTTCTGTAAATAATTTTAGTAGTCAAATCCAACCTGGTATGAATGAGTTTCCACGAAATAGGCGTGTGCAAAAGTCAATTGGATCTGCTTCTGCATCAATCTCCGACTTTAGGACAGCAATGGAGTTGAATCCTACCATACTAGGGGAAGATTGGCCTCTACATTTTGAGAGGACTTGCTTTCTTGAATTTGAAAAATGAGTTCAACAAGCTCAACCTTGTATTTATCCAAGTTACAAATACAAGATTTTCTCAAAGTTCAGTCTCAATTCTGACTGAGTTTTTACTGATAAATACACCAACATATATAGGTTTCAATATTGGATAGTTTGGCTTCGGACATTTTCTATCATAAAAATGTCAACTAACAGTTAGAGTCAAGCTTACCGAATAGATGCGGGAATCACTTTTAATGATTCTCTAGGATATTTCTTCATGTTGTTAAGAATTTTTTTAATAAATTTATATTCAATCTCTCCAGGCCTAAAACCATGTTCCTCGGTGTTTGAATTGAGTATCATTTATAATCTTATAATGATATTGTCATCCTGTTACTGTGTTTCGATTACATATAATCTAATCTCTGCACATGATTATATTATGACCATACTCTTATTTCTCCTATTTTGTTAATTTGTGCTTTGTTTCAAGAGATATAATTGTAGATGTGCCTGCGAGTTTTAGTGATTTTAGACACTTTGTAACAATCATCCATAACTGCAAGTCGTGTCTTTTGATGAATTTGTCATTCAAATAAGCGGAATATAAATGTTTATCCTTTAGCCTTGATAAAAAAATTTCTTTACTTTCTATGTGAAGGAAATATATAGAGACTAATGAGTTTTTATAGATTATGGTTACCAGTTAAATAATGTCTCTTGCTAGGTTGCAAAGCGTGTGTCTGTTACAAAATTTTCCAGGAGCATTTGTTTGCTGGTTGTTTACTTGCAGTTATGGGCATGACTTTTCAACTTTCAGCAATTTTAAGTTGACTGTGTTTGTCTTGGTGTCATTAGACTGTGTTTGTCTGGACTGTGTTTTTCAACTTCCAGCAACTTTTAAATGAGGCTTTTAAAAAATTAACTTTTGTTCTTGCCAAGAGTTGAACTTAAAATTTTGAGACTTAAAGTGCATGTCAATATCACAAAAACTATACTTTGGAGTGTAAATAACATCTTAAATGCATAGTTAAACTATGATTTTAAATATGTGACTAAAAGAGAAAATTGAATATACAGATTTGAAATGAAAACTAGATATGTGTTGTCAATGCTACCAATATAGTTAAGTGGAACAAAGGAAGCAATATGTTTAGAGAATACCCTCTCTTTTCACCATTTTGGTTTGCTCAACTAGTTGAAGGATTTAGAAAAAGGCTCCATGCACTCAACTCAATGTGAAATTTAAAAATGATCTTGTTCTATGAAAATTTGTCTCTCAACATAGTCACATTTTGATTAGCCCCAATTTCCCACTCATTAACTTTCACACAATAGTTTCATTCATTAATTTTCATTTCCATGTACACTTTAAGAGTGTGTGGATTTTAAAGAGAGATTTTTTTTTTAAAATTTAAAATAATTTGTCCAAAATCTATTATTTGAATAAAAAAATGCGAAAAATTGTTAAAATAACAAAGTTATGAAAATTTTGTTGAAGTAAATAATTTAAAATTTGTCACTTTATTTCACAAGAATGTCGTATTGTAATTTTACAATTTTTTCATAATTTTCAAAATTTACAAATTAGTTTCTTTAAATATAAAAATTAGTCCTTATTTTTTAAAATTAAAATTTAATTAAAATTTTAAAAATTGATAAAAAAAATCTAAGATACTTAATAATAATTAATTTTATTCCAAAAAAATGAAATAAATTCAATTGAAGCATTTGAATTACCTAACATTTTAAAATTCTCAAAAATTTATAACTACCTCATCTCAACAAATCATAAAAGCAACATTAAAATGAATGTCACCCAACCCTTAACCAAATGAATACTATCCTGCGGTTTCTCTTATGTGTAACTCTCATGTGCTCTTATTAACCATTAGATTAATCCAACGGATGATAAATAAAATGCTAAAATTTTTTTTAAAAAACTTTATTAAATGGAGAAGTATAAATTAAAAAAAAAAAACTATTGATGTCATTTTTATCCAGATTCGATCATAATCTTCACCAAGACTCTTGAAGTTATTTTTACCCAAATTTCTCTATGATCATCATCTTCACCAAAATTGTTGAAGTCAATTTTATCCAAATTTCTCTACGATCATCAACTTCACCAAAACTCTTGAAGCCAAATTTACCCAAATTTCTATGCGATCATCATCACCAAATTTCCGCGCCACTATTTCTCCACCCTTAAGCATATCTACGTCCCTCCTCCGATGAAACATACTACACATACGATGATCAAAGGCGGCGACAAGAAGACGACAATGTACAACCTCATGTAGACGATAATATACGGCGACACGAAGACGACGACATACAACGAAGGCGGGTTGGGTACTACGACGACGACCTTGAAAAGTTAACTTGAATTCTTACTATTGAACTCTAGAAAAATGGGTTTCTTTAAGTGCTCCAACTTGACATTTTGCAACCATTTTTATTGATTATTGTTCTTCTAAAATTGTGTCATTGGTTCTACTTTTAGGTTTATTGAAGCCATGTATAATAATTTCAAAATAATTTAATGAGATCATGTTACTCTCATACTTTGATGGTTATTGATATGAGTTTATTGAAGTCATGTTAGTGACAATCGTCTATCCCAAACCGTTATTGAAAAGATCGGACATGCGCTAAACCGAATAAAACATATTCGATTGATGAGAAAATTAATCAATATATTTTCATATATAATGTTTGGATAAAACCACACAATGATAATTAATTTTCGATAAAATATCAAACAAAACTTGACTTAAGAAATTAAGAATCGAATATTTGGTGTGCAATCAATTGTAATCAGGTTTTTCTTTGATTTTGTTAATATGAAAAACAATTTGCACTCTTATAGATTGCAATCAACTCAACAAAACAGTTTGAAATATTAGACAAAGAAATCATCTCAATGTATCGATTGCACAATCAATTATTTCATAATTTGCAAGTAAAAGTAAGAGAGAGAGAGAGAGAGAGAGAGAGAGAGAGAGAGAGAGAGAGAGAGAATGATTTGTTTAGGTAGTTTCCCATTCGGTCTCGCTATGCGTACGTCTACCCTCAATTCCAATAGAATTGAGATAATGAAAATTAACCTTTGCAAATGTTGTTTACAAGAGAAAAAGTAGCAATACAATCCTCCAAATGTTATATTTGATATTGATCATATCTTCTTCTCTTCTCTTGATCTTGAGCTCGATCAAGTAACCAAATACTTCTAATTTTATCCTCCGGTTACCGCTACTCCTTTGACACAATCCTCATTATTCAAAGCTTTCACTCGGTTAAACCCAAATTGCAAAATGTTGCAACCCAAGATTACAAAATTGATCCTCCGATTACCGTTACTCCTTTGACAGAAAGTTCTTTCTTCAAAAATCTCACTCGGCTTAATCCAATTTGGGAAATCTTGTGAAAAACTCCCAAATCTACCTTGATCTTGGGAGAAAACCCCAAATGAATTTATCTTAAAGCTCCCAAAGAATTTCCAACCCAATTAATTACAATGAACCTAATTGGACCTTATCAAACTATCTCAAGATCACACAATAAAAATGATTATGTGTAATTGTTGCATGTATGTAATGAGAGAGGATGAAGATGATGAAAAATTATGTGTATATTTTTGATTTCATTCATTTTAAAATGATGCATGAATGAATATATATATATATATATATATATATATATATATATATATATATATATATATATATATATATATATATATATATATATATATATATATATATATATATATATATATGTGTGTGTGTGTGTGTGTGCATGCGTGTGTGTGTGTGTGTGTGTGTGTGTGTGTGTGTGTGTGTGTGTGTGTGTGTGTGTGTGTGTGTGTGTGTGTGTGTGTGTGTGTGTGTGTGTGTGTGGGAGTTGACCCATGCTGCTTGGGAGTCATCTCCAAATCAATAGAAAAGATTATAAGAAAAAATTCTTCAGTAGGAGTCGATCCACGGCTTGAGGTTACTCTTCATTGGCCATTTTCTTTTTGACTTCTTGTTCTTCTCATTGAATCGAGATTGTAAAGTGATCTCCAACTTTTTCTTGTTGTTATTTCTCTCCTCCATCCTTTTCTCATGAGTCTCAAGAGAGCTTTGAAGCCCCCTCTTTTGTCAACGTCACAAGATCCTAAAATTCCTCAATCGCCACTACAATGTTGTCGAATCTTGCGGTCAAAGAACACAAGATTTTCGATACAACATTATGCTCAGAAACAGTTTCTCCATATTACTTTATTTGGTTCACTAATCTAGTAATTCTCGTCACGTAATCATTGATTATCTCCTTTTCGTCCATTTGAATTAATTCAAGTTGACATTTGTGAGTTTGTAGCCTCACAACCTTCGCCTTGTCAGCCCTTGCATATGTCTTTTCCAAGATTTCCCACGCTTGCTTTGACGACTGACAATCACCAACTTTCTCAAAGTTGTCACCATCCACACATTGATGGATAAAAAATAACGCCTTGTAATCTTTCTTATTTTCTTCCTTCTCCGTTGCTCGTTGTGCATCCTTTACACCTTCAACAAGGGGATTCACCCTATTCTTGACTACTTCAAGAACAACTTGGCAGTTAAATAATACCTTCACTTTCTTGTACCTTTTTTCGTAATTCTTCGCATCAAAGATTGGCAGGTTTGTAGTGATTCTTTCATTTGAGACAAAATTCATGTTGCGCGCCAGGTGTTTCCCTGGATCGAAACCAGACTCCGATACCAAATTTTAGAAATTAGAATCACTCTTTGGTGAACAATGGAAGGTTTGTGTTGTATCCCAAAATTTTCCATCTCATTTTATCAACATTTCCCCTCACAAGGATCTTTGAACTCAAGACTAAGCTAGGGTTGCACTGCTCAAGACATCTCCTTGCACCGATGACCTAAGTTAGGATTTGAGTTTGCTTAGGGATTTTTGGACCTTCAATGCTCAAATTAACTTTCATGCTTCATTATGGACTCATAAGTTTGCCCATACCAAGTTTCAAGCCTTGAATCAAATTTTTGCCCAGTC